GACTAGAATGGGGGGCTCAGAGAGACTGGAACAGGTGCAAGGGGAGAATGGAATAAACGGCAACTGATCAGTCAACCAGCCTTGTCCTCATTTCTGCCTCTGTCTGCCCCATGGCCTGGGCCACCCGGGTGGGGGAGTGGCCCGAGGACCACCTGAACTCGCGTGGAGAGGGGGAGAGCCTTCGGGGCCCTCCCTAGGCTGTCCCCAGAAGATTAAACAGGTACCATTTAAAATTTTTAATTTTAATTATAAAAATTTTAATAAAATCTTTAAAGACACCATTTATAGTTTTATATATGTCATGTCAAAACAAAACTTACAGGCACTGATCAAAATTTTATCCACGGCTTTATGGGAGAGAGTAGATCCCTTTAACATGGTGATAAAGATTAATTAAATCACAAATAATATTAAAATAATTGTTGCATTATTTTTATTGAAATGTTCCTCTTACCTTTAATGACTTATTAGATTTGGTAATAATTTTACAATTTGCTGGGCCAGGGCAGAACAATTTTCATGTGATTTTTTTTTCTTTACAAATTTTCTAGAAATCTAAGATCATATACATATTTGGTTAGAGCTCTTTTCAGGAAAACTGAAGAGGGAGAGAGCAGGGATCATGAATTTTGTTTACATGTGGCCGTACTGTTTAGAGCAAGACAGTGTGTCAGAAAAAAAAAAATGGAAGGAATATGCTGAAGAGATGCACTTACCATTTTTCTTATAAGAGTTCCTTCCACTACCTGAGAGACAGTGCAGTGGCTATGGTGCTTGCCATGTTTGCATGCAGTCAACCTGGGTTCAATCCATAGCACCCCATACAGTTCCTTGAGCCCCATCAGCATTGATCACTGAGCACAGAGCCAGGAGTAAGCCCTGAGTACTGCCAACTGTAGCCCCCAAATCCAAAGCCAAACCCAAATAGATTTCCCTTCCACGATTTTTCAGACTCTATGGAAAGTTTCTGTCCTCCTGAAGTGTGGAGTGACTCCTGATTTCTCCTGCCATGTGTGACCCACCCATTTAGAATATTTTTTTAATATTTTAAATAGTTAAAAAAATTCCAAAGAAACCCATTACTTTAAAAATGTGAAAGATTTTAGAAATCCAATTTTAGTGTTCATTAGATATTACCTTAAAATAGATATATTACCTGAAAACAGAGCTATTTAATTTCTTTCTTTTTTTTTTTTTACATATTGCTCTGGGACCTATCATGTGTTACAATGACAGAGCTTATTTGTGACCAAGACCTCAAGGTGGAAAATAAAACATTTTTTACCTTCTATATAGAGTGTTTTTCCCTGGGCTAGTTTTATTCTTATCAATTTATTAAACCTAAATTTTTATATACTTCTTTCTATTGGATTTGGCTCCTTGCAAATACCCAGAATCTATACTACTTACCTGATGCAAAGATGAACAATTTTTGATTTCAGATATTGAGATATGCTACAAGGAGGGACATTTTTTAACCATCTAGTCATCTATTTTTCTTCAAATCACACCTCACAGACTGTAAGTCTTCTCTGCTATCAAAAAGTCATTGCACTCTAGTTAAATAGAGAGGTAGTAAATAGATTTAAATTTCAAGATTTCCTGATGAGACCTGAATTCTTGTGAAAGTTCAACCAGCAGCACACTTCACATTTGACACCATCTGATAATGTTTGCGATTTAGTGACAAGAAGCCTGGCAGTTTTCTTCAGTTTTTTTGTTTGTTTGTTTTTCTTGAAAGTAAATTTTCCAACTGGGCATTAAAGCTCCAGGTAGGAAAACCAACTGTGTGATCTGTACTGGATACTTCACAATTCTAATATTCAGCTGCATGGAATAGGAGTCAACTAAATAAACACAACTGAGTCATTTTCCCAGTGTTACCTAGTTCCAAAGGTAAGGAATTCAGGGCTAGTGCACCTGCTTAGGATTTTTTTAATTGAAGTAACACAATTTATGATAGTATTATTGCTAGTGGGAGAAGTGATTCCCACCCAAAAAAGCGGGGACTCTCTGTGGCTTGTGTGAAACAGGAAACAGGGAGATGAGAGGCTGGAGAAGTGGCTCTGATGCTTCCCTCTTGCCCCACCTGGGTTACCTGGGATACTATGTGGGGGAATCTAGAACTGATGAGCATCTGCTCTGTGCACGTATGTAGCACAGAAGCTGGCATCACATCAGCTCCCTTTAGGCACAATCAAACTGCACCTGAAGGATGGTGTGGGAGCTGTCCCCACCGCCTGAGTTCTCAGAGAGCCTTGGACTCATTCTGAAGGGAGGAATTGCTCTTTGCTGACAATGAAGAACCAGTCCTTAATTCTAGCCAGGCTTTTTAGGTCCTTCACTTTCCCTCAGAGAAAAGAATTTCAGGAGGAGCACTGCACTGTAGCACTGTCCTCCCGTTGTTCACTGATTTGTTCGAGCGGGCCCAGTAAAATATCCATTGTGGGACTTATTGCTGTGTTTGGCATATAGAATATGTCACTGGTAGCTTTGCTAGGTTTTGCCATGTGGGCGAGATACTCTCGATAGCTTGCCGGGCTCTCCAAGAGAGGCAGAGGAATCAAACTCAGGTCCGCCGGGTCAGCCACATGCAAGGTAAATGCCCTACCCGCTGTGCTATCGCTCTGTTCAGGAGAAGAGAAAAGTAAAATAAACTAAGTATATTTGGAAAATGAGGGGTGGGCAAAAGAGAGTGAAAGACAGAGACATAGAGATGGAGAGAGAGGTGTTCAAGAGAGAACCTGTCCTTCTCCAGCGATGAGAGAGAGAGGGGATGAGAGAGAGACAGGGAGATAGAGGGAGAGAGAGAGAGCGAGTGAGGTGTTCAAGAGAGAACCTTCTCCATCCCTTTGATTATCCAGGATGTGGGATTTTAAAGGACAGTACATGTTGCCTCTTCCCCTGGGAAGATTTGGGGAGTGGAAAAGCACTCTAATACTTTTGTTAACTCAGTTTTACTTTTCCTCAGCTGAACCTCGCCTGCCTGACAAGATTGCAAGTTTCAGAAAGGCATCTTTATACCTCCATGGGGTTAACACAAGCAGTGCTCAAAGGTTTCTGAAGGCAGTTTATTCTGAAAATTGGAGTTTCAACCCACCAACTTCAGTTAATACTCAGTTTACTTCTCAAGATTAGTGACTTCAATAATGAGTACATATGTCATGAATCCACTTCATATCTGGGACTAGGGTGATAGTACAGTGGGCAGGGTGCTTGCATTACACATGGCCAACCCAAGTTCCATCCTTGGCGTCCTGAATGATCCCCTGAGCACTGCCAGGAGTAATTCTTCAGTGCAAAACTGGAATTAAGCCCTGAGAATTTCCAAGTGTGACCCAAAAACAAAAACAAGAACAAAAATATCTTCCATATATATGAAACTTCTAGAAAATGTTTTAATCCCATCGCTACCTCCCAAAGCTCATTCAGTATTCCATCCAGTTCTACTCTCATTTATATCGCCTTCCTTACTTTTTAAATCATTTTCATTCAAGATCTAAGACCAAGTGGTGAATTTGATACCTGTAAATTTTTTATGTGACTTTGATGTTTTTTTTTATTTTCTTCTGTTATAGTGAATCAACCAAACAAGTTTATTCTTATACATAAAACAAGTTTTTGATGCAGAAGCAGTGATGATAGGTTTCTGTTCATCCATGGTCCATGATCTCCAATGTTTTCAATAGTGAAAAACATCTTTATTGAGTATGATTAATAAAGATGCTCAGACTCAGTTAGAATATAAAAAGTTTATTGGAAAGTAGAAGAGAAAGAAGCGGCCCAAAAGGGGAAAACCTAGTATAGGACCAAGTTAAGTATGCCTCATATTGTGGGCTTTTATAGGAAAAGTGGGCCTTTGTGCTATCCAAGTTCCAGAGGATTCCCATTAATTTCCCAGAGAAACCTTGTTAATTTAGGGTCTGTTTATCTAAAATAATATTCCCAAGTGCTGGAGAGATAGTACAGTGAACAGGACTCTTGCCTTGCACACAGCTGACTACATTCAGACCCTGGCATCAACCTGATAAAAATCCATGAGTAATTCCTGAGTACAGAGCCAGGAGGAACCCCTGAGCATCGCTGGGTGTGGCCCCAAACCAAAAACAAAAAACAAAACAAGATTAACATCTTTCATCTTCATTTAGGCTGGTGGAGGCAGTGTTTATTTAACACCTTTTAGGTTCTAGACTTCACCAGATCGCCAAGTATTGCCATGTTATTCTAATTTCCTGTGAGCCCAATCTGGGGTAGAATTCATGGTCCTGGGAAATTTTAAGCTTCCTCCTTCTGAGAAGGAGTCCAGAAATTTGCAGGAATATTTAAAATGTAGAATCAAGTAACTAAAAATGGAGCCTTAAAACACCAGTGGGCAAGGAGGAAACTGAAGCTTTTTCTCTCATTATCATCTTCAAGTTCTTTATGAAGTTCAGTTTTATACTGATGTGCTTTAAAAAGCTTAAGTTTGGGGGGAGAGAGTGTGGCTGGTATTTTAACATTACTTTTCTGCGATAAATCAGAATGGTAGCCAACAGCTTCAGATTATAAAGCTTGGATTGTAACTAAAATGAAAATGATTTTTTTTTATAAAAACAAAAGTTGTTCCCACTCCATAGGTGGGAGAAGTTTAAAAAAATTCATGTTTCCCCGTGGGTTGGTGGTGTGTGGGGAGAGGGAAGAGTGGGTTGTACAATATTGTGCTGACTCATCTTGCAATGAAAGATTAGATGTAGAGAAGTGCACTTTTTATAGAACACAACTCTCTGGATAATTCTCATTCATCAGAGGGGGTGCTTATTTGAAAGAGCAAGGATTGGGAGTTAGACATGAACTCGAATCACTGCGTTATAAAATATGATTTGTATAATCTTGGACAAGTTATGGACATCTTCGACTCTTCCTTATTATAAAATCAAATTACAGTTCACTGGAGTTTTGTGACTGCTGCAATATAATAGCCATTTGTTTTCATTCACTTTTTTTTGGTGTGTTTTCTACAGAGAGAAAAATTCATAAAGTTACTGGACCAGTTGCATAACTCACTAAGGATTGATCTGTCAAAGTACAGGGTATGTTCAAAATTATTCAGTAAATGCTTAACTATAATTTTGTACTTCATCTCCAAGTAAAATATACATACATAAGATTTATATATGCACAAATATAGTCAATTATATGTATATGTATGTGTATACATACATGTACAATTGCAAGTTAAATTTGTTACAAAATACAAAGACTTAGTCACAAAGGCAAGTAGTTAAAACATCTCACCACAATCTCTATAATAACACATTGTTTATGTATCAGTTTGTCCTAAACATCTTTCTATATTTACTTGCTACTGGTAGGAGAGGCACTGGGTACCCAGCTAAATTGCATTCCTTAGTGGTTTACGTGGAGGGGTGGAGAGAGCTAGCAGCCTGCATATGGTTATCAAAAGCTTCCCTCTCAATCCATATTTGACAGCTCAGAAAATGTCTGGGGAAATTTTGGACTGATGAGAGAATATGTTGAGCACCCGCCTGGTACAGACTTTATGTTTGACCCTTGTCACAGTTGCTCTGCCTGGTGTGTAAAATGATCCCCACTGCCCTATTTATTGAGAGCTGTAGAACTCAGGTTGGAGCAAGGAGCTACTGTTTGTTGGAAAATGATTCCTAAACATAACTTAGGTTCTCCAAGCCATCCCCCTTCTCTCACAGAAAGGAATTTCAGGAGAAGATGAATAGTGAAGAGGAAGTTTATTTGAAAAATGCTCTTAAAAGAGAATGCAGGCTTCTCCATAGTGGAAAGATCAAGTACACAGCTCACCTAGATTTGCATTGAGTTCCCAAGGTGGAGAAAACATCATAAAGAAAACACTCATCATAAGAAAGGATGCCGGATGTCTCCTCAGAGTGGGGAAATAGGGAGAGGTAAAGTAAAGTAAAGAAGTCCATATCTCAGGGAGACATGAGGGAAAATGCCTGTGGAAAATGTACAGATTTCTCAAATTTCTCCTCAACATCTACTGCTAGGTTCCTTGCCACGGAGGGAGCCTGGGAGTTGATGACCCTTTGATATTCTTAGTATGGCCTTTGTTCCATCATTGGAGCCTCTCCTCTCAGTGGCCCAGCCTTACTCTTGACCTGGAATTCTTCATCTCAATAGTTTTCTGCTTTTCCTCAGAGGAATTCTGTGCCTCAAAGGCCTTTATGCTATTGGGCTCTTTTAGGTTCAAGATTACTTTTCCCAGCACAATTACCAAGGCTCGGCTATCTCTCTGGCTAAAAGATACATCTATTTCTTTTAAGTCCATTCTTTGGGTCTGATTTTAAGTATATCTTAATTGTATGGTGCTAAAATTTGTCAGACCATCTCTTGTCAAACTTAAACTAGGGAGATACTACAGCAGGTAGGGCTCTGCACACAACTAACCCAGGTTTGATCCCTGGCACCTCTAATGTTATCCCCAGCCCCAGAAGGAATGATCGCTAAGCACAGAGGCAGGAGCAAACTTCAAGCACTGAACATGTGGCCCCCAAACCAGAACCAAACAAATTTTTCTCAAGTTTACTCTTCATTTTGGGGCAAACACTGTGAGAACAAAATGCTACTCTATAACTTGAAAAATATATATGGTAAGAAGTGTTCTTGAGGTTGTTAATATGAGAAAATTTCAATGTCAAAACTGTTTCTTCAGATATTTTCATAGTTAAACAATTCTTTTCCTCAGAATTCTGAACATTTGCATTTTATAGTGTTTCTCACCAAACCTTATTGACAAAAATTTCTGCCAAACGTACCAAACTCTGAGAGAGAGAGAGAGAGAGAGAGAGAGAGAGAGAGAGAGAGAGAGAGTGTGTGTGCGTGTGTGTGTGTGTGTTTGGTTTTAGGGCATACTGGTTGTTTCAGGGTTTATTCCTGAGTTTTCGCTCAGGGATCACTCCTGGCAGGGCTCAGGAGCCATATGGAATGCCAGGGATAAAATCTGGGCAGGCCTTGTACAAAGCAAGTGACGAACCCAATGTACTGTCTCTACTGTCCAAATCTTTAAAACTCTTAAGTTTGTTTCTTGCTGAAAGTAATTGTGAAACATGTTGACTTCCCCAAGCATTTTTGTAAAAAAGCAAAGAATTATCCATATTGAGAATATTATAAACTTATCCAAATATAGACTTTCTCCCTTCTTTTAGTAGCAAAATTTTCAGACAATTATTTTTAAAAATGATGTTATGCATATTTTTATTAACTTGGGAATAATTAGACTGATATGACATTCTAACACTAAGAAACATTGTCAAAATTTTTATACTCTGTCTTATGGTAAAGTAAAAACCATCTAGGGTTATTTTTAATACTTGGAAGTTCTGACTTTTTCACTAAAATCTGGTTTTATGATGACTTCCAAATAGAATTTAATGATGATATTTTCCCCACCCCTTTGGTTATACAGGAAAACTTTCCTGCCAGCAATGCTGAAAGACTCCAAGACCTGAAGTCAACTGTTGACCTGCTAACAAGTATCGCCTTTTTCAGGATGAAGGTACCTTGTTTTATCTTTTTCCCTGCTTCAGTACAAGCAGCAGAATTGCTCCCTGAAAAATTCTGGCATTACTCTTCATTGGAGCTCCACTGTTCAGACCCAGCAACTAAGCTGAGGTGTCTTTGTCTGAGCTGAATGAGTCATCAGATACAAATTATACTGAACATAGTTAAGATAGTCCAATACATTTAACTTAAATTTAATTTTAATTAATTTTTATGGATATAAAAAAAAAACACTGGGCTGGAGCGATAGCACAATGGTAGGGCGTTTGTCTTGCACGCAACTGGCCCAGCCAAGACCAGTTCAATTCCTCCACCCGTCTCGAAGATCCCGGCAAGCTACCGAGAGTATCTCGCCCGCACAGCAGAGCCTGGCAAGCTCCCCGTGGTGTATTCGATATGCCAAAAAGAGTAATAACAAGTCTCACAATGGAGACATTACTGGGCCCAATTGAGCAAATCTATGAACAATGGGAGGACAGTGCTACATAGCTTAAAAACACTATTTTAGAAATGAAATTTACTTATTACTTAGTTCTAACAGAGATATTTTCCTCATTTTTATATTAAAAGTATTGTCTACTCTTTTAAATTCACCTCACTTGTGGGAAATTAAATACGCCTCCCTATCTATGTAGGAATATATTCATCACTTAATACATTAGTATAATTACTTACTGTCTACCAAAGTATTAAGGCATTTCCTTCTAGCTATTTTTCTTCTACTTCAGTGCCATGGTGTCTGCAATAATTTGACTACTTGATAATAATTTGATTACTTGGCAAGCCATGGACTAGCCTATTTTGCTCTTTGAAAGAGATTTTTATGTTTACTGAGAAAAATTCTGAAGAGAAATAAGAATGCATTTTTTCCCATTGTCAATGATAAAGGTAAAGGTAAAGGCCCTCCCGTTGATCGTCGATTTGCTCAAGCGGGCCCACTAACGTCTCCATTGGAGACTTTGTTGTTACTGTGTCTGGCATATCGAATACTCTCGGTAGCTTGCCGGGCTCTCCGAGAGGGGCGGACGAATCGAACTCGGGTCGGCCATGTTGGCCGCTTGTAAGGCAAACGCCCTACCCGCTGTGCTATCGCTCCAGCTCAATGATTGTCAATGATACTTTATCCAAAATAGCAGTGTGGCATTCTATCAGTAATTAACAAAAAGAAAGAAAAATATATAGGGTCCGAACGGTCACTTAGATTCTTCAATGTTTAATTAAAATCAAGTTTGTTCTCAATTGCGGTTAAATTGGGCGATTGTCATTGAAATAGACTTCATGTCAATTTTTAAAAAACAATTATTTTTACTTAGCTCCTAACATCTTATCAACTGGCTGAAGCTACTGAACTAATATTTAGAGAATATCAGTGGTAATCAAGGTTCAGAAACAAGTTTTCTAGAATTCCTAAATGGTGCCTTTTAATACAACTGAGAGGTTGGATAACCAGAGAGGAAAGAAAGTGACTGTACAAATGCCATTTCTCAATCACCAACCTTAAATTGTTGAACAAATAAAATCTAAAATTTATTTAACCACAAGCCACACACACAGTACCAGATAACAATGTTATATAAAGTTGTTACAAGAAACTAGTGGCAAACATGAGAGAACTTACTCCCCACTTCATTTAATTATATATTTTCCTCTCAGATGCACTCCACCCAAAATATGATTCATTTTTAAATCTTAAAACAATGCTACAGTCATCTACAGATTATACCTTAATGTATCTAGTCTTTAATATCTAAATTCTCTAAATAATCCTCTATACATTTTATTTCCAATTTCTTTTCTCCTATTATAAATATGTTTTGTCTTCTTTTCAATATTTACTATAGTAGTGAAATTCATTCTTTTTGTTGTACAATTGTTTCTGTTTTGATAAATATGTAGTTGCATAATATTACCCCTACAGTCAAGATACAGAATTAAGGGGAGTCATAATACAGCATGTAGGGCACTTGCTTGCATGCAGCCAAGTTGAAGTCTAACCCCACATCCTATATAGTTCCCCAAGCCTGCCTGGATGATCCCTAAAATCTAAGCCAGGTTTAATCCCTGAGCACTGCCAGATGTGACCCCCAAACAAAAGTAAACAACAAGAACAAAGAGATACAGAACTAAACCTCCCAAATTCTCTTATACTAAGCACCTCTATCAACTTCTGGTAGCCATGGATGTTTGGTCCTTATGGCCTGTTCTAGAACATGCAAATAAAATAAAAACACATGTTTATGTTATCAATAGTACATTTCATTTTCTTAAAGATTAGTAATCTTAGTTATGTGTGTACTACAGACACAATTTTCTTCCAGTTTGGTATTATTATAACTAAAACACATTTATATTCATTCTTGTAAATAATTATTCATACTTGTATATATAAGTTTTCATTTTCTTAAGAGTGTGATTGTTGAGTCACTTGGCAAATGTATGTTCAAATTGAATAGAGATAAAATATTTTTCAAAACACATAGACAATTTTCATTTCTAGTGGAAATATAAAAGATGTTTCTGTTCCTCTGCACTTCTAGTGAGACTCTAGTGAAAACTGGAAAGAAAGATTCCCTACTTTCATTCTTAATTTTAGCTCATCTTATAGGAATCAAGTTGTATCTGATTGGATTTTAATTTTGTTCAGTTATTTCTCGTTGGTATTCCTTTTGTAGGTAATACATTGCAGAAAATTCATTCAGTTTCCTTTAGATTATTTCTCATTGTGGAAATGTTTGTTTTTTTAAAATATGAGTCATGCTTAACAATGCTAAATCTTAAAACCCATGCTTAGTTCTTATACCAATTCTCAACTTCTACTCTATCGCATCAAAAACGCCATTCTCCATCACTTTGCAAAATCTAGTTTTCACTTTTTGATCTTGGTTAGTGTAGGATAACATTGGTTTGTCCTTTCTCTCTGGCTGCAGGGAGCTTAGGTTTATTGGGTTACAGCCATCACAATGGTCCCAAGGCACTCCCATTTCTCTGTTTATTTGAATATTGCTCTATAGATTTTAGGCTTAACATTTAGTATATCCTTTCTCCATTGCCACAGGGAGTTTAGGCTTATTGGGTTACACCCATCATAGTGTTCTTGAGGTACTCCCTTTCCTCTGTGTTTGTCTGTAACCTCTTTCTTTTGCTCTGCTTTCTCTACCTGTCAATCACCTTTATCCCCAGTCAGACTCTGTTAACTTGTAAGGTCATATCCTTCTAAGGACACTGGATTTGTATTGTAAGTGAAATACTGCTTTCCTTTTGTCCTTTTGTTCTTGCATAGTTGCTTTAAAGCAATGTCCTTTTTATATATACACAGAAAGACAGTTAATGCTGTGCTTTTGTAACTGGGAGTTAATTCACTCCGAATTATATTCACTCCTTGGGCAACTGTTTTCTCAATGTAAGCCTCACTTGCCCTAAGTTCTAGCACCCCCAGAGTAGGGACCCGACAAGGAACTGGATAGACCCACAGCAAGCTATGAGCTACCCTGGCATCAAAATGGGCCAGGCCAAGCACCATAATACTTAAATATAAGTTAAGAGCATGGTCATGGACAAATTCTGCCATGATCCAAAAAGTAACAACTGGATTAGTACCCTTCTAGGGTTAGGAAAGACTAATCTGGCCTGAACACTGTGGTCTGAGATTTATAGCGAGATGTACCCAGGAGAGCCATCCTATAAGCTTAATGTATCTCTTACTGTATTCATACAAAATGACTAATATTATTAAGAAGTATAATTAAGGTAAATGTTTAAATGGTTGTTGAACTAAGGAAAAGAGACACACACCCATTGATGGTATTTTGCTTTTAGGTGGGTCTTCTTGCTGAACAAGAGTTTGTCCTAGAAGCTTCCCCTGAGGGGGAGAACTTATATCTGTTAATTATATGACCACACTTATATGTAATTGCTACCCCAAACCCCTCATGATTTGGGAGCTAACTAAGGCTGTAAGAGGACCAGAGGGAGGAGAAGGCGAGAAGAGTGGGTGAGGGGAGAATCAAGGAGGATCCATGAGAGGGATGAAAAGTTGTTCCTATTAAAAGTCACTCCTTCCTCCTTTGGGAGCTGAGGCACCTGTGAATTCCAAAGAGAGGGTAAAAGTAAAGAATTGTTAATCCAAAATATGGGCTCCTGGTGTTGTCCAATCCACAAACTGTAAAAGAAGGGTATAAGGAATGTTCATGATATGTAAAGGAGCTAGAGACCTTTATCTAGAGATGTCTTCTGTTGATCTATAGGGATTGCATTTTTTTCGGCAGATCCTCTGTTTCCTGACTTTCAGTCAGTACAGGTTTAATGATGGCTTGGAGTTGGATTTTTTAGGGTGGTGGAGTCTTTGACGGTCTGAGGGCCAAATTAGATGGGTGAATTCGACTCCTGAAGAGATGCAACGGGACCCAAAGTTTCTTAGTGGGTTACCATCTGTTGAAACAAAAGCATAGCCTTTTCCTTGAATGAGGAGTTTTCCTGCTACCTGTTCTTTGTCGTTTTAATCCAAATAGGAGAATTAATTGTTTTCTGAGCCTTTGCACCTTCCGGAAAATGCCTTTCAACTACTGTATAGGGTTCTCCTTGAGGTAAATTTTAAACATTTAAAGAAAACAATGTCAAGGACCAAGAGTCAAGTGGAGGAAGGTCAGCAGCATTTAGCATGTATTTTTATGACTCTACTCTATAAAATCCCCTTTTCCAGGTTTTCCCCAAACCCTCTTGTTAAACTTTTTGCTATCTCATTGACTTCTTTTTTCCCCCTGGTATTCATTGTGCTCTTCTTTCTGACTCTTATTATGTCACTGGGCTCTAATTGCCCACAATTTTTTTCTTGCTTCCGTTAAGCATATTCATCGCACTTTCTTTACATTTTATATAACCTAATAAATTCAAATTTTATAACTAATTTCCATGACTATAGACTTACTTAACCGAGACATATACTTGATATCTACTTCTATGCTTAGTAGTTTTAAATCTCTTGAAATTGTACTCCTGGTCTCCAAATCACATCTAATTTGAGACCACATCCATTGTACTAATTATTGTCTAAAACCTTGCACTTCTTTATTAAAACCTAAAACTTATTTCTCACAACAAGCCTTTCAATATGCCAGTAACTTCTGTTAGCCCTTCCAAAGTTAGCCAGATTGTAATTTTATATAGCAATTCCCAGCACTATTTGTTCTTGACTAAATGATTATTAGTCTCATAATGGTCTTACATGTCCCATAACCTAACTTTAAAATACACACGGGAGCCTTTTCAAAGAGCCTTAGGTTTTGTGCCTCTACTTGAATATTTACAACTATGGTGACTTTCACTATAATGTGATCTCTGAAAGTTAAAATGCCTATATTTACACAGTTACAATATTCCAAAGGTCACATTTTTTCCCTTAACATAGGGAGATAAACTAATATCATTTTAGAATAGTATTTGAGTTATTTGTGCTGTATTAAATAGATTTGAGTTATTTGTAACTGGGTTAAAAATTGAATTAAATAATTATTTATCAGGTTCTGGAGCTGCAAAATCCTCCCAAGGCCAGCATGGTGGTGAAAGATTGTGTCAGAGCTTGCCTGGATTCTACATATAAATATATTTTTGATAATTGTCATGAACTCTATTCTCAGCTAATAGACACGGTAAGAAAATATTACAGTCTACTCCCTCTGCTTTAATGTCAGTTTCTATAAGTTCTGTGATACTGTCAGTGAATGAAAACCATGTTTATGTAATTTCACACAACAGGTTTTGAATTTTTCCATATCTCCTCTTCACATTTGAGCATCTCCTTCGTAGACTTGAAATCACTTACTCCTTACAATAACTTTATGAAAAAAAGGGGGGAGAAACATTATTATTTTATATATCCTGAATGGGAGTATATTTGAGAAGCTTTAGTGATTTGCTAAAATTCAAACTAAGTAGTAGAATCTGGACTAAGGCTTAGAAATCCAATTTCCACACCATGTTTCCATTCTAAACTTAGCACTTCTCAACTGTGGGCTATCTGGGCCAGGCCCCTTATAGTCCAAGGGGTTTTCAGATGAAAATATATAAATAGGTGTGAGAAATATCCCATCTGTCTAAATATGCATAGACTCAGAAAGTAGAAGAGCAGGGAAAGAATGGCTTTGATAACAACTGATCCCTGTAATTGCACTGCCTGAGAAGCAGTGCAATTACAGTCGTCAGACCGATATTGCATTCCTTAGTTTGTAACTCCCTTCACTGGCTAAGTACAACGAAGCAAACAGTCTCTAATTCTTACCTAAGTTTTATTGAATATTTTGATACATTCACCTCTTGGGATTAGACATTTTTCTTCTTTTGTTTTTATCAACAGCAAGTTTGGGTTGTAGCCACCCCACTTTGTTCTCTTCTGGAGAGAAGGATCCCCTGGGATAGGTGGTTTTTAGTTTGTAGATAGTTTCTTTTTCAACACCATCTTACTATCCTGTTTGGTCAAACACTGTTGATCCTTGAGTCATCATATCGGCACACTGTCACTCATTTTTCTATTGACAATTAAAAGCCTTGTCTTGATAATGGACCATGTCTGACTATTTCTAATGTGCGGAAGCATAGAGTGGGTAAGAGGTCAAGCACTGTGACCGGGTTACCACAGGAATGAAATACACGTGGAGGGTTGGAAGATGACAAGGTTAGAGAAAGGATGAGAAACCCTGATCAAATAGCCTCATATTTCTTAATTGAGCAAAGTTTTATAGAATCGGATGGTAAAATTGCGGTGTAAGTAAATCTGTTACTGTGAAATATACCAAAACTAAAAGACAAAACATAAAATTAAACAAGCATGTATATACTTACTAAATGTTAATCGTGATCACTACTTACTCCAACTGTTGTTTAAAGGCATTTGATATTACTAATGAAAAGGTATTTCACTTTGCACTACTTTCATACTCCATGACCCCCACTCTTCTCTTCAGAGGAACATTATTCTATTATTTCTCACTATACTCAAAAAATAGTATTTCCATGACTATAAGAAGTAAATCATATATTCTTACTATTGTGAAAAATAAGAAGCAAAGTGAAAGACCTAATATAGTAGAATAAATATTTTCAGGTGAATAATGCAGATTCATTCCTTTGTCTTACATACAAAAAGATGGTCAGGATAATAATAATAATAATGGTGGTTTTAACTTTTTCACACTCGTTCAAATATATGCTTATTTTCTGTGACATGTCTGTCATTTGATGTTTTCTCTCTTTGGCTTTCTAATCTTCTATTACATTTTAGAAAAGTCTAAGATTTATCTAGATACTAGTTCTTTGTTTATTTTACTTATTATTTTATCTTTTTTATAGAATTTATCTATTTCCTTTCCATATTGAGTCTTTTTGTTGCACAAAGTTCACTAATGCGCACTGTGATTTTTATTTTATCAACTTCTACAAAATTATCTTTGGGGATGAAATTTATGTATTTATTCAACATTCACTTACTTCCCTAAAGGACACAGTTGCTCCACTATTTATAGAAAACTGTGTAATTATCTATGAAACTTTCTGAGTTTCTGAGTATCTGATGGGGCATCAAGGCAAGTATAACTCTTGAAACTAGATTTCAAGTTGTATCTTATATAATGTATTTTTTTCTGCTGTCACTGATAGTAGAAAGGAACTCAAAGCTGCGACCGTCTCAGTCTGTGAAAAAAAAGCCAATATGTTAACATAATTGTCATAATTTTATCTTATAATTTTTAGTATTTCTTGTGCATTTATATTATTATTTTATAGAACCATTAACTATAATATAAAATTATTTCATTAAACAATGAAAATGGACAATTGAGTAAACAATTTGGATTGAAATATAAGGAAGAAAAAAACAGTTAAAAAGTTCCTAAATTAGTGGCTGGAGAGACAGAAAAATGGGTAGGGCTCTTGCTTTGCATACAGCTGGCCCAGTTCTATCCTGGATCCCTATAAGATACCCCTAGTCCGATGAACAGTGATCCAAGTTCAGAGCCAGTAGTAAGCCCTGAGCATTGGGGTGATCCAGAAACTAAACAAAAATTCCAGAATGAGGACTGATTTTTATTATTTATTGAAGACCAAAAGAAGTGAAAAAAATAAAGCAAAGAAATGTGATGTGGGAGGTAGACAAATCAGGTTCTAAGATTTCTTATATATTATTATAAGGAATTTATGTTTTAAATGAGAGTGCCACTTCTGTAGTGAAATAAATCCATACACCAGCTCTATGGCAGAACAACTGTAATCCATACCCAATATAAACAAAACCATAGTTAAAACTATAATATTTTCATGCACAAACATGCAAGTAAACTTTAGAAGATCATCCCCTCTTACAGGAGACAGTAGTACAAGTTAGACTTTACATTTTGTAGTGCCTGTTCTGAGGCAGAAACTCTTTGATGATGTACCCCAGGGCTGTCCAGGAACAGTCTGGCTGGCTATGGAACATCAGGGAGCATAGCCAATAGAGGCAACCCTTACTGACTGGTGATGCTTTTGTAAGGTCTGCAAGATAGATTCTTGGGGGGGGTACTTGCATGGTGTCAGATGTCTACTGTTGAGATATAAGGTGCTTAATTTGATTCCTAGGTGTAATGTATAATGGTTTCTTCTTAACCTTCACCATATTGGACTACTGGCTAGGGGTAGATGGAGTCTTCCTCAGTACTTGCTACAGTGGAGAACGCGGTGGCATATGCTGTCCTTCAGCATTATCAACAATGTTGTTAGAGATCCTTAAGTTGACATCAGCCTGTGACTCAACCCCTACTTACAATATTGGGCTTCTTGCCTCTTGTTCTTGTAATGAATGTATGGGGTTGCTGGATTAAAGTGCAAGGGTGATAAGTGCGCCCTCCTGCTTCCAGATTGATATACTGCACCTGATAAATTTCTTTCTGATTCCAATGTGTCTGTTGCCTTGTGTGTGTGTGTTTGGGGTGGGGGGGGGAGGGTCAGAGGGGGGGACTATTTCTTAGTGAGACATCTTTATCTCTAATCGGTCTGGATGCCCTCCCTTTATCCCTTTCTGTGAAAACTTTGTTCACTTGGGGTTTCAGCTCAATTTCTATAAATTAATCCGAGATTTGGTGTAGATTTGCCATGATCAAAGAGCAGTTAAAGACAACTTCTTCTGATTCATTCACCTTGGTTTAGTGTGGTTATAGATGTGCTCTATGTCAGAAACTTGGTGGTCTGGGCGTTCTAGAAATTGAATCATCACTTATTTATTAAATATCAATTAGTGACTTTCTAAAATCTTTCCATTGTTTGTTGCCTAATTTCTATCTTCTTATCACAAAATTCTATTTTCCTATACTTTTTATACTGTATGGTTTCTATACTCTACATTTCTATACTTTTCATATACATATTTTTATATACTTTCACCAACATTGTATCTATTTTGCCTAACATACAAAATCAAAACTTTTCATTATACCATAGAACCCACCCAAACATAATTTCATAATCAATCTTAATCAACCATAGAGCCTTAATTTTCTAATTATTTTACTCCAAATAAAAAATGAACCTATTTTCAATTATTTCACTGAACTGGTGATCATTTTTCCATCTATATATCTGGCTAATCAATAGACTTAAATTCCTCTCTCCAATTTTCTGTACATCAAAAATTTAATTAAAACATTCATCTTTGCTCTGCTCATTCACATATTGCGTTGGTCAAATCACGGTAGACAAGTGATAACATCTCATTTAATGTCTTCTAGTGTATTAACAATGACATGGCCATGATGGTAATAAATTAAATAAAGCATTTTTCTTCAGTAATAGAAACAAACATGCACAGTTTCTATAAACGAAGTATGACTTAGGAAATGTAAATTGGGGACAGAGAGACGATAGCACATAGGTTAAAGTGCTTACCTTGCATGTAGCCAATCCTAGACCATGGTTTGAATCTTTGATACATTATTTGGTCACTCTTGAACACAGAATAAAGAAGAGTCGCTGAACACCACTGACTGTGGCCCACAAAACAGAATAAATTAAAATGAAAAAGAAAGAGTATAGTAAATCGATGTGTTCTGTCAAGATTAATCTAATATTATCATTTAATGTTTGTTGAGTTAGTTTACAAAAGATATGTGCATTATTTGCTGAGTAGCATTTTTGCATGTTTCATAGTTTTATTTTGATTAAAAAATCCTGATATTTTTATAGCAAATCTTGTCTGTGTAGGGAAATATTTGAAACCAATATTTAAATCCAAGAAAGAGACACTTACCCTTTCCAAGGCAAGGCCTCCATGGAGTTTCTGGCTCGGGGAAACCCTGTGAGCCCCCGGTGTGCCAGAGGCGAGCTCCAAACCCCACAGAGGCACGGAAGTGACCCACTGCCCCTCCTCCTGCAAAGGTAAAATGGCTGGTGGGTGTGGCCTCTGGGACACCGCAGTTATTTTTCCCTTTCCCAGCATTTGGACTAACAGCTCAGCATCCATTATCTAATTCTGAAGAGAACATCCTGGCTTTCCCAATCACATTAGGCCAATAATCTACTAACCTATTCCAATTAAAATACTCCCCCCAAACACCAAAATAACAGTGAACACAAAGATTGAATAATTCCAATGAAAACGAATACATCCCCTGAAGCTACACTAGTG